CTGAATACATAAGTGGTTCTCATTGTTACATTGTATCGACGCATACGATTATTTTTCCAATTGTAGAAAACGATGATATTATTATAACTTGATTAAAGTAAAGAATTTCTTTGTCATTTCACGACCTGGAGACGAAGATATTTTCTTCCTAGGCGAGGCTTCATATGTTTTTTCGATTTTTGATTTTTCAAAATCGGTTCGGTAGGATGAGCTTAAATGTGGACGAAAAGTTAACACTTTTTTTCAACAGTTAATTACAAGAAAACGGCTCGGTAGATTTTCACCTAAAATTAATCAGCATCATTCCCAACTAATATCTTTCGAACAGTTTTTGATTTTTCAAAATCGGTTCGGTAGGATGAGCTTAAATGTGGACGAAAATTTAACACTTTTTTTCAACAGTTAATTACAAGAAAACGGCTCGGTAGATTTTCACCTAAATTAATCAGCATCATTCCCCTAATATCTTTCGAACAGTTTTTGATTTTTCAAAATCGGTTCGGTAGGATGAGCTTAAATGTGGACGAAAATTTAACACTTTTTTTCAACAGTTAATTACAAGAAAATGGGCTCGGTAGATTTTCACCTAAAATTAATCAGCATCATTCCCAACTAATATCTTTCGAACAGTTTTTGATTTTTCAAAATCGGTTCGGTAGGATGAGCTTAAATGTGGACGAAAATTTAACACTTTTTTTCAACAGTTAATTACAAGAAAACGGCTCTCGGTAGATTTTCACCTAAAATTAATCAGCATCATATTCCCAACTAATATCTTTCGAACAGTTTTTGATTTTTCAAAATCGGTTCGGTAGGATGAGCTTAAATGTGGACGAAATTTAACACTTTTTTTCAACAGTTAATTACAAGAAATGGCTCGGTAGATTTTCACCTAAAATTATCAGCATCATTCCCAACTAATATCTTTCGAACAGTTTTTGATTTTTCAAAATCGGTTCGGTAGGATGAGCTTAAATGTGGACGAAAATTTAACACTTTTTTTCAACAGTTAATTACAAGAAAATGGCTCGGTAGATTTTCACCTAAAATTAATCAGCATCATTCCAACTAATATCTTTCGAACAGTTTTTGATTTTTCAAAATCGGTTCGGTAGGATGAGCTTAAATGTGGACGAAAATTTAACACTTTTTTTCAACAGTTAATTACAAGAAAATGGCTCGGTAGATTTTCACCTAAAATTAATCAGCATCATTCCCAACTAATATCTTTCGAACAGTTTTTATTTTTCAAAATCGGTTCGGTAGGATGAGCTTAAATGTGGACGAAAATTTAACACTTTTTTT